TCCAAGGCAGTTTATATATCAGGATTAGCCATCACTACAACTTATCCAAAACCTCTTATTTCAAATGATTCAAAGTCTTTTTTTTCACTGTCTTTCTGAACAGTCTTTTTTTTCCTAGTGTAATAGTCCTATAAAACAGTTCTAATAAAACTTAATATTAAGAAGTACTCAATGTCAAGAGAATACCCTCCGCAGCACAATGTGCCGTATCTGAGAACTCTGCGTCCACAGCCGCCCTTGCCTGAAAGTTCTGCTGATTTAGCAAAGAAGCCGATTTCCAAGAAGGCTCTGTAGCACCTGGCATGCACTCCCTCCAGCCACGTGGTTCCATGGCTCACTGTTATTACTGCATTTGTGGCGGTGCCCGGGCTGGAACCCAGGGCTTCATGTCCTCTGGGTCGCTGCCCCACTACTGAGCGCGCTCCCAGCCCCTCCTAGGCCTTTGCTCGTAGGTAGTAATTTCATGGTTGGAGATGTTCAGGTTAGTTTTTCGGATGGAGGAAGCTGTACTTTAGTAGAAATCGGTATATCTCAAACATGCGTGCACTTCTCAGTTACCAGGGAACGTGGGGACAGACCCCAGCCCTGCACTGGGGCATTCTGTTGGCTGCGTCTCCTCTTCTGACTCGTGGGTGTCAGCTGCGTCACTTCAGCGGAATCGCTGACTGGTACGCTAACGGCCTTGGTAGGATGACAGTGGTGTGCTTTAAGAACACAATCATAAGGGGTACAGTGTTTTGCAACATCATTTTTTGTGTCATAGTTCTGTACTTTTTTTTTTTGGCAGAACCAGGGATTGAACTCAGGCCCTTGCGCTTGCCAGGGAAGCGCTTATTCCACTGAGCCATCTCCCCGGCCCCTAATAGTTCTGTACTTTTTAAATAAAAATACTTCACTTGTAAGTTTAAACTATGAATATGTATGAATACTCTTGTCACTATTCCCCAAATAGTCCTTTAAAGCTTCTGTTTTCTTATAATTACAACTTTTCTATAACATTGAAAGGAATGTTATGTGACTTACTCTCATGCAATCCTAGACCACTTAGAATATAAATTTGTACAGTGGAAGAGACACGCTGATCACATAAGTAGGCTTACCTGGTATTTGAGCATGTCCACATTATAGTAGGTAGCCTGGGGCTTTTGTTCAGATACTTTCTTTAGGTGAGTCATCAAATTTGGCATGTTTACCCAGAATTCCTTGGTGTTGGCATCATTTTGGGTGTTATCGCTATTCAATTGGGAAGAAAAATAATTGAGTAGCATCTTGTAACAAATACCCTCTACAGAAGAAGCACCTTAGCAGATATCCATCTGATTTCTATGTCCAGCTTGACAGCTGGTGAAATTGTAGTATTCACAGTACTGAATACACAGTACTCAGAGAGGGGTTAGTACACACTCAGTTCTGAATGGTGTTACTTTAATAGATTACTATCCATATGTTGCTCTAAATGTCAATGAACAGCCAATTCTATTAACCAATCCAAATGGCGATTGACTGCTTTAAAGAGTGAACTATTTTTTATTTTTTTTCCCCGAAGATTTATTTTTTATTTGCTTGGTACAGGATCTCACTATGCAGCTCAAACTTATAGTGATCCTTCTGTCTCAGCCTCCCCAATTCTGGGATTACAGGCATGTGCCACCACCCCAGGTCTTGGTAGTCAGCTAGGTGCACCCAGGTTGGGGGCCAGCATGCCTTTTTTTTTTTTTTTTTTTTTTTTTTTTTGCAGAGCCGGGGATTGAACTCAGGCCCTTGTGCTTGCCAGGGAAGTGCTTATACCACTGAGCCATCTCCCTGGCTTTTTTTTTAACTTTTTTTTTTTTTTTCGGAACTGGGGATTGAACTCAGGACCTTGTACTTGCCAGGAAAGCACTAATTCTACTGAGCCATCTCCCTGGCCTCCAGCATGGCATGTAGAAGCAGGGATCATACTTGGGTCCTTGCACTTGACAGGCAGGCACTTGGACCACTGAGCTCTCTCACAGGCCCATGAATTTTTTTTTTTCAACCAAACTTCGTGGCCCAAAGTTTACACCAAACTTAGTAGTTCCAAGGAATCTCACAAAAGGTCACCTGGCTGTAAAATCACTGAGGAGTATGGCAGGACTGGGTTCAGGGTGGGTAGCAATTGCTGTGATCCAGGAAATAGTAATAAAGGGAAAAAGTGGCCACTGCAGAGAGCTCTTTAGATGAAGCACCAGGGCTTGCCAGAGAGGAGGATGTCAAGAATGACATCTTCTGTTTGCAAATAAGTAACTTGACAGAGTTGACCTTTCCAGTATCCTGTGTGTATCAACGTGTGGCTGAGTGTGTACCAATGCATAATGGACATTTATTTCAGGTTTAATAGAACATGTGAAAAGTATATTTATTTAAACAAATATGCATGAGGTTCTTTGATGTTATACAGGTAAAGTTCTAGTGAAACACCTACTGTCCAAATGAAATTATGTTGCACAAAAAAGATTTGTAAGCTCATGCAAAGAGGGACTCCTCATTCAAATATGATTTAATTAAAAAAGATGCTAATACAACAAGAGGAATTTCCTATTATTGGGTTCATCACCCACCATCCTTTTTTTAAAAGAAATAATTCAATTGTTTTTTAAAATGTGTTTTAGTACAGGGTCTACAAGGTCTACACAGATCAAACTCATAGTGATCCTCCTGTTTTCAGCCTCCCAAGTGCTGGGATTACAGGCACACATGACCACGTCCAGCCTCATTCGCCTTCTCAGTGCACCCCAGGGGCGGGGATGGCATGGCATGCTGGGAATCGAACCCCGGGCCCTGTTCCTGCTTAAGCAGGCGCTTTAGTCTGCTGCGCTATCTGGTTGGCCCTAACCCACCATCCTTATGCAGTGTCCACTGATCATTAACACAATGAATAAATTGTCACTAATACAGATTCTATTACTTTCAAAGCCCCCTTAGCCAGCTGATCTAGTTGGCTTTAAGCTACACCTCAGCAGCTACTCACACCAGTCATGCATGATGACATTAACAGCTAGTGAAAGTTTTATGTCTGAATCTACAAGAGCATCTCAGGACCATTAACTCAGCTATCGTGGTGGCACACGCCCTTCACACCAATACAAAGTGCTAAGCCACCTGAAGCTCTAAAAATGTATGCAAAGTCATACTTACCAGCAGAGAAGTTGGGGATTTGGCAGGACGTGCTCTAACCTGCTGAAATTGACCACCCGGAAAGTCAGGGCAGCTGGTGATGGGTTGTTGGCAAAGTGTCTGGTGATGCCAGCAGGGAAGGACAACACCATCTCGCCAGTGATTTTCACGATGCATCTGAATAGCAAAGCACAGGACAGGAGAGAGAGGAAGCCAGGTCAGCCCGCTGGGATCCAAACAGCCACGAAGAGAAGAGATTTGGGCAGCTGTGTAAAACCACAAGAGACAGAAGGCATGCTCTCCACCTCCTTGCCCCTCACTGGGAATTGAACCCAGGGCCTTCAGACTGAAACACATCCCAGCTCATTTAAATTTTTTTCTTTTGAGACAGGGTCTCTTTAGGTCATTAAATTGCCCAAGCTGGGCTTGCACTTGCAGCTCTCCTGCCTCAGGCTCCCGTTGCTTGGCTTGCAAGCGAAAGACGTTATGGCAAGTGTTCCCCGGTCGTGCTCAATAATGAAATCACTTCTAACACACCTGCACACTCTACACTTCACAGCCTCCAAGCCACTTCACTGAATGGGGTTTGAAATATAGGAAGAAAGCTTTCATCTTCAGAAATAGGGTCATCTACTCTTGCAATGTTTAAATTACGTCTTGGTACATTTTAGGTATACGTAATGACTCCTTCCATCACAAGGACTCTGTACCTGAGCGTGACACAACTTGATCCTTTTTCCCCACTCCTCTGTCCCCTCTTTACCTTTCCTCCCCTCCCTATTTACAAAAACTTTGCTTCCATTTTTTTCTTCTTTTCTCATCATTTATTTCTTTTCTCTTTCTTCCTCCCCCCTTCTCTGTAGTTTCCCCTTCTATTTGTACATTTTCTTCCTATTTCACAGCATCTATTACACATTTTGGCCTTTAGTTACACCTTCAGCTTCGCTCACTGAGAGGCAACGCTGTATTTCCACATCTGTGTCTGGTTTAGTTCACTTAAGAGCATAGCTTCAAGGTCCATTCGTTTAGCCCTGAATGACTCAAGCTTAGCCTTCCTTATGGCAGAGTAGTGCTCCATTGTATATAAAAACCCCACATCTTCTTTATCCACTCATCAGCTGATGGGCATCTGAGCTGTTTCCAAGATCTGACTACTACTAACTACGCCACTATAAACCTCAGTGTGCATATGTGGCATGATGGTTAATTACTTTAGGAAGACAACAAGGAGAGGAACAGCTGGGGAGCCTCTGCTTGTGCTTTCTGAGGAACCTCCACACTGATTTCCACAGTGTTGCACCAGTCAGCCTTCCCAGTGAAATGGAGAATTCCGCCCCACGCCCTGTGCAGTCCCACTAGCATTTGCAATTGGTTGATTTCTTGACAATAGCTGTTCTTTCTGCGGTGAGATGGAACCTTCCTGTTGTTTTCATTTGCATTTCTTGAATGACCAATGACGCTGAACATTGTTTCATATATTCATTTGCTGTTTCTACTTTTTCCTCAGAGAAGTGTCTATGTATTTCAGATAGCCATGTTTGCATTGCGTCTTTGAATTTGGGGGGAAGTCTGATTTTTTTCAGTTTTTAAAATACATTCTAGATAGTAGTCCTTTGTCTGAAGAACACAGGCAAATTTTTTTTTCCAACACTGTGTGTTGTCTCCTCACTCTGTTGGTTCTCTTGCTGTGCAAAAGCTTTTTAATATGATAAGATTCCAGCTGTTGATTCTTTGTAACACCTCCCTTGTGATCTCAGTTTTGTTGATAAAGTCTTTTCTCACACCGATGTCTTCAAGAGTTCTATCTCTCCTATCACCCACCAGATTTAGTGTTTCTGTTTTAGTCTTTGATCATAGTCTTTGATCCATTTTGATTTTAGTTTAGCACACAGTGAAAATGGGCCTACTGTTAATCTTCAGCATGTGGAATGCCAGTTTTCCAGCCTCATTGGTTAAGAAGGTGTCTTTCTTCCAGTGAATGTGTTTGGCACCTTTGTCAAAGATAATCTACCTGAGCATGTCTAGAGTTGTTTCTACATCTTCTAGTCTGTTCCATTGATCTTCAGGTCTTTTTTTTTGGGGGGGGTTGCAATTACTGTGCTTTTTTTTTTTGATATATTTGGTGGTTGCAGGGTCTCACTATACAGCTCTGACTCATGGTGATCCTTCTGCTGTCAGCCTCCCCAACACCGGGATTACCCACATGTGCCACCACACCCAGACTCTGGGCAGCTCAGCCCACTCTGGGGGATGGTCTGGTGTGGTACGGTGCTGGGGATCAAACTGTGGTCCCTATGCTTGCCTAAGCTTGTCTAAACAGGTGCTTTAGTCCACAAAGCTATCTTGCAAGCCCCTAAAATGCTGATTTTATCACAGTAGCTTTGTAGTAGTATAATTTCAGCTCAGGGATTGTGATGCCTGCTGCCTTTCCTCTGTTTCCCAGGATTTGTTTTGCTATTTCTAGGTGTCTTCTGGTTCCAGATGAATTTTAGGAATGTTTTCTCTAGATTTGTGAGCTATACTAATGGTATTTTAATCAATATTGCATTGAATCTGTACAGTGGTACCAGGGATCGAACTCAGTACCTTGTTCTTGCAGGGCAAGAACTTACTCCACTGAGCTATCTCCCTGGCCCCCTCTTTCCATTTTCTGATAACCTCTTCAATCTCCTTTTTCAGGGCACTATAGTTTTCAATGTAGAGAGTTTTTACTTCCTTCATCAGACCAATCCCTTGGTATTTCATTTTTTTAAATGTTATTATGAGAGGGGTGATTTTCCTAATTTCTCTCTCAATAAGTTTATTATTCTTGTATAGGAAATTTATTTTTCTTAAATTTTAAGAAAATCATGCAGAATAAAAAATAGTAAAAAAATTATAAATGATACAGAATTCCACTAAATAGAATAATAGGAATCAACAAAGGTTGTTATATTGCATAGTGTTGTTTTAAATAATTTGTTCAGATTAGCAGATAAAAGAGTGCAAAATTGGTCAAAAAATTATAAACAATTAAAAAGGAGAGAGAAAGAAAAAATTGAGCATTAGTTGCTCCTTTTAAAAGACCAGCATCAGTCAGTGTACAATTATCCGGGCTACCCTGTGTATATACATAAGTATTTCTTTTCCCTTCCTTTCTTTGTATTTTCCTTTCTCTCATCCCAGTTATCCCTTCTCTTTGAACAGTTTCTTTTCCTTTTACACTGTCTGTTGTACCTTTCAGGTTCTATGTACTCTTTCAGGTTCTTAACTAGGAGGAAAATAGGGTGTTTACACATGCAGGTGTGATGTGCTTTACTTATGAGTATGGTCTCTAGTTGCACCCATTTACCTATCAAAATGTTGAGTTTATTTTTTTATTGCTGAATAATACTCCATTGTATAAAAATACCACATTTTGAAAATTCATTTCTCAGCTGATGGACATTTGAGTTATTTCCAAGATTTAAATTGTGCTGCTACAAACACGGGTGCACACATATCAGTGTGGTGTGATGTTTTCAGTTAGGATTCAATATAACAAAGGAATTAAAAGGTCAATACAATAAAAATTACAGGACTCTGTAGAAAGAGATTGAAAAGGATTTCAGAAAATTTAAGGATATTCCTTGCTTATGCATTGGAGGAACCAACATTGTGAAAATGGTCAAACTCCCAGAACTGTTACACAGATTTAATGCAATCCTGATTAAAATGCCATTAGTATAGCTCACAGATCTAGAGAAAATATTCCTGACATTCGTCTGGAACCAGAAGACACCTAGAAATAGCAAGACAGATCCTGGGAAACAAAGGAAAAGTAGGAGGCATCACAATTACTGAGTTAAAATTATACTACAAAGCTGCTGTGATAAAATGAGCATGGTACTTGCAAAAAAAAGTATCTGAAGATCAATGGAACAGACTAGAAGATATAGCTCCAGACATACTCAGCTACCTTATCTTTGTCAAAGGTGGCAAACACAATCACTGAAAGAAAGATAGTCTCTTTAACCAATGGTGCTGGAAAAACTGGCTTTCCACATGCTGAAGGTTAAAATTAGCCCCATGTCTGTCATCATGTACTAAACTAAAGTCAAAATGGATCCAATATTTAAATATTTAAAAAGCTATTGGTAGTTGCTTGTTGACTTTGTATTCAGCTATGCTACTGAATTTGTTATTAAACCTAGAAGTCTTTTTTTTTGGTGAAGTTTTTGGGCTCTTCTGTGTAGAGTATCATGTCATCTGCAAATAATGATAATCAAAATTTTCCCTTTCCTGTCTTTATTCCTTTTATTTGTTTCTCTTGCCTAATTGCCCTGGTTAATATTTCCAGAACCATATTGAATAATAGTGTTGACAGTAGACATCCTTGCTTTGTTCCTGATTTTAAAGTGAAAGCTTTCAGTTTTTGTCTGCTTAATATGATGTTGGCCATTGGTTTGTCATAGATAGCTTTTATCAGGTTGAGATAAAGACCATCTATTATAATTTTCTGGCTTTTTTTTTTTTTAAGGGAATGGGTTTTGGACTTTGTCAAATACTTTTTCTGCATCTATTGAGATGATCTTGTGATTTTTTGCCCTTGGTTCTCTTATCATGGCATATTACACTTACTATTTGCATATCTTGAGCTATCCCTGTGTCCCTGAGAGGAATCCTACACGATCATGGTGAATAGTCTTTTTGATGATTTGTTGCATTGTGTTTGCCAGTATCTTATTGAGGAATTTTGCATCTATGGTCGTTAGGAAAATTGGCTTGGAGTTCTTTTTCTTAGTTGGGTGCTGTTCTGGTTTTGGTGTCTGGTTTTGATTCCAAAAATATGTTCGGGAGTACTGCTTTCTTTTCAGTTTCATTACAGAGTGTGAGAACTAGTGACCTGAGATGTTTTCTAAATTTCTTGTAGAATTTAGCACTGAACCTGTCAGGGCCTGGGCTTTTCTTTTTGGCATGTTTTTAATTATGTCTTCAATTTCATTGAAGATAATGGTTTATTTAGAATTTTATGTCTTCTTGATTCAGCTCTAGTAGTTCATATGTGTCTGGAAATCTGTCCATTTCTTCTGCAGTTTCCATCTTATTAGAATACAAGTTCTCAAAGTCGATATAGATGGATTTCTGCAGATCTGCTTTGACTTCACCTTTTTCATTTGTATTGCATGGATTTGAGTTTTTTCTTCCTTTTTTTTATT